TAGATTATTAGCTTAATAGGGACAAAAAATAGCGGACAAGTGGGGAAGGGGGGGGGAAGGGGGGGGGGGAAGAGGGGGGTTAAGTAGTAAATGAAATATTTTAGAATTTTACAATTATTATATATTTTCGTACAAACATTTTAACACGTATTAAAATAATCACTTCAAAACTTTACTTAAAATTAAAAACGTTCTAACGTATGAAAAAAAGACAAAATGCGATTCTCCTATCCTTATTCGCTTAGACTGTACAGCTTTAGATTACGTACCATAAGGCTTTTAAAAAAAAAATGTCCGCAATTTTGTGGAAAAAAATAGTGAACATAATGTGAAAAAAAAGCAGACTGTCCGCTCAAATAGGGGGGGGGGGCACCATGCAACCTTAATAATATGGAGGGGTTTTTTGTGTGTTTTTTTTTATACTAAATGTTTTTGGCAACCGTCCGTCTCAAAGAGACGATAGTGCAGTAACTTGCTAGAAGTTGCAAAACAGCAAGGTCTGGGAATGGTGTTTTGTTTTTTATCAAGAATAAGCTGTCCCCACTCCCCAGTCAGCAGAACACGCCCCACTCCCCACGCAGCTTGTGAACCCGAGGGAGCATCAAATGGCAATTTTATTGGCTATTTTTTTTTTTAAAAATTGGTATTTTCATTGGGTAGCCTAACCCAAAAATATATATTATTAATTATTTTATTTGGTACCCCCCAATTTAGTTTTCTTCATTGTATAATCCCCCAAAAACCTGGTACTTTCATTGGGTAGCCCAAAAATAAATGGTATTTTCATTGCGTAAACCAAAAATAAATGGTCTTTTCATTAGGGTAGCATACAAAACCAATGTCATACAAATACACCGTTACTCATCTCCAGATTTCTCTGTTGATTCTGACTTATGAATCTTTGATGAGCCACAGTCCTAGTTTGACAAGTCTGAAAGAAAAACTCTTTATAACTCATGGGCTGAACAGGACCTGAAAAGCTTTTCCCGAACACTTGAATAGGTTAGAGTGTAAGGGGGGACTCGGTGCTTTGCTCTGCCCAGCGACCTCGTTGCTGTTAAGATGGCCCTGTCCTAGACACACCTCTTCAACCGGTTGAAAGCCCCCACTGCTTTTAGCCCCTTACCTCAAGACTCATACTATCCACCAAACCTCATACTTTCCCTCAAACTCATACTTTCAACTCAAACCTCATACTTTCCCTCAAACTCATACTTTTGCACAAACTGATGCTTTCCCCCAAACTCATACTTTCCCTCCAACTCATACTTTCAACTCAAACCTCATACTTTCCCTCCAACTCATACTTTCAACTCAAACCTCATACTTTCCCCCAAACTCATACTTTCCCTCCAACTCATACTTTCAACTCAAACCTCATATTTTCCCCCAAACTCATACTTCTCCTCAAAACTCACACCTTTTTACTTTCCACTAAAACCCCATACCTTCCCTCAAACCGCATTAGGGCAGTGACAAGTAAAAGCTGCGCGCGGCGCAGCTTCCCAATTACTAAATTTATCGGCCGTTCATATCTTCCTCTTCCACAATAGCTAGAGAGTGAGAGTCAGCGAGAGAGTAATTAAAAAAAGGAAGGTAAAATTTAAAAAAAAAAGAAATTTTAACATTTTAATTTAAGAAATAACGTTTTTATTTAATCCAAGAATTCTGCGATTCAAATTAATATTAATTAACTTTTTATGAATTATTGTATACTGAGGCTGAGGCAATGCGAATCTATGATTATGATTAATATTTATAAACATCACGCAGGAACTTTGTGACTACCCTGTTTATGCACTTATCATATAACAAATTTTAAACCGTGTATGCGTAGTAATTCAGTTACGTGCAAATATCCGAGTTTGTATTTACATTGTACACAATAATTGTCGTGCAGCTAGTATTAACCCTGCGTTTGGCACGACTGCAGGAGAGATGATTACAGATCACGGAGATATGCATGATTAAATTTATATAATTATATTTATTTATTTATTTATGTAGTCATTTTTATATAGCGCTTACCTTAAAGCTCTAAGTCTAAGCGCTTTACAATTATTAAAAACATGTAAACTAACTACAATAAAAATGAGACATTAGGATAGTAACTACTATACTATAGAAACAATTAAAATGGCTATAAAACGAGGACACTTTGGCACGTTTTGGCCTATATTACAGGATTAACCCGAGACAGAAAATGAGGCAGGGCAAGGAGGGTGCATCACAGGTCATAGGCTAAATGTGCACACCAAGAACCATCCCGATCTCTTGTGCGTAGGCTTCCTTGCTGTGTATTTTTAGAATCAGAACACTATGTATAGGGAGAAGAACCATCGAATGATCAACACATTTAAAAAAAGCTTGACACCAGGGGCGTCGCCGGATTTTTTATTTAGTCAGTGTTTACCGCCTTCGGGAGTCCATCTCCAGATTGTTCTTTTTTGGGGGGTTGTCTCCCATAGGTGTCAGAGGATTGCAATCATATTTTCCTCTCTCAGATGCGCCAGAAAACCAAGGCTGACGAGGGCCATCCACACGTATTTGTATATACTTCATCGCACAGCAATGCAGTCGCCAAATATTGCAAATAATTAGTGGAACAAGATATGTTTAGTCATGAAAAAATATATAGTTTCAGGACAACTAAATTTAGGACCAACTCAATGGCGTAGCAGATCTTGGTGCCACTAAGGCGGGTCAACCCCCCCCCCCCCCCCACACACTTTTTAAAAAAAAAAAAACTGCAGATGGCCGAAAATGCTGCAACTCAATTTAAATAAAACAGTATCCACCGAGGCGGACCGACCCCTTGGCACGCCCTTCCTACGCCACTGGACAGACTGTATTCACCAAATATTGAATACCGGTACATTGTGTCCCTAAAAACTTCAATGCATGAAATAAACGGCAAAGAAATCGATAACATATGACTTTGAAAGGTAGACTAGTTTGTGACTTACGGCACGGTGGAAAAAAAAAAGGGTCAGGGGAAGAGAGTGGTATGGAACAACTGTGAACGGTAATATGAGACTCTTAATTCCCTGTCAACAGCAGGTGCTCAATAAATACGGATAAATGTTGGCATAAGTATAATAATTACACACGTGGCGTAAAGCCAAGACGGGGACAGCCGTATAAATAATAAATGAGTGACCCGTTGTATTAATGCTCATCATTTCGTTTTTCTGCTGGAGCTCCGGCACTTGAGGTTTGTGTGGACTCCATTATTTAAAAAAAACAAAAAAACAATTATTTACAAAAGCATGTTAAAATAAAACAAAAAAAAATATTTAAAAAAATATTTGCCATACACAAATTTACGGCATTAATTTCTATAGGCCGAGGGTATGTATTGAATTTACATTAATCTGCAACTCTTCGTTTGGTTTTTATTATGACTTTATCATAGACAAATTCAACCCTGTAGATTCAATGGCAATGGTAGCAAACTAAAAAGTATGCCAACTTGGCCATTTCCGGACCAAAATGTGTAAATTTAGACGATCCAAGCGCCTCATGACATTAGGCACTTATCCACGTCATTTTAAACGCTCTCTTTTCTTATAATGTTTAACGAATTATTTGCAGGTGGTGTGGGAGACGTTTTGGAGGCTGCATACAAATCCTGCTCTAGAGAGAAAAGCTCTTGACACTTAAAGGGATTTATTTAACAGATTAGATTTAGAGACACCGTTTAAGACCAGTGTTGCCCAATAGCAGCCGTTAGGATAGTTTGACTGAGACCCAGAGGCGTAGCTAAGGGTGGAATATGGGGGACAGATATCCCCCGGGGGTATCATAATGGGCTTTGGTTGTATTAAATGGGTGAAGATTGGTTTCAGAGTTGAGTTGGGCGCAAAAATGAATCTTGTCTTTGGGCGCAAAACACACTAGTTACGCTCCTGCTGAGACTCCTGACTTATTGAGTGAGATCACACACACACTCGTGTGGTAAGCAGCCAAAATTTGCCATTGAAATTTGGTAGGGTGCAAATCAACTTCTGTAGGCAACGTAGCATGCTGATTGAAAAGTAGAAATTTTGGGCTCTTGGGTTTCCATGAATTTGATTTTAAAATGCATGATTATGTCAATCTAGAAACGACTGAATTTTTTTTTCTTTAAATGAAGATCCACATTGGGTAAGAGAGATACTTCTTTCATAAACTTGTCTTTGGTATTAGTAAAACATTGTTCCTCTAGGGATTATTCAGCGCGTCTTACATTTTTGTCCTTAAAAAATCTGAAGCAATAATAACAAATGATCTCTTAAAGAATGTTATATGTGAATTAAATTGTCGGAGTTTATAATTAACAATACACTCCTTTTTGTCCTATTTAGTACAGTCTAGTAAAATATGTTTTCATTAAGTTGATAGTTTATGATTATATTAGATCCGCTGTTTTTACTCCCAAAGTAAAGATGATTTTAAAATTTAAAAAATAAAAATAGAGAGCTGGGGTCTACTGGGGTGGGGAAATTTACATGAAGAGAAATGAGAATGGGTAACTGAAATACGTCTTTTTTTTGGTACAGAGTCGTAGCCTCATGTTGGCGCATGCGTGAATCTGCAATCCACAATGGCGGACGAGCAATCACTGACGAATGAAGAAACAGGACAATTCGACCCAGCATCATGGAAAGCGGTGTCTTTGACACACGTTGAGTACCCAATAGGTATAATATAAAAATTCACTGCTTTTGGTAATGTTAATAAATTTATTTTGACTATTAAAATACATCATATTAAAATATTGCAAACTTCATTTTCAATTTGACCATGACCAAGAATTAAAGTTACTTACTTACTACTTCTTTTGCTTTGGTCATGTTTTTTTTAAATTAATTATTATTTTTTTTTTAAATTGGTGCATCCCACCCCACCATCATCCCATCCAACAGTACATTTTCTAGCTCCCAGAGTCAACAATTAGCAATAACAAAACACCGGATGGGCAACACTTAGTTTTTAGCAAAAGTTATGTTTAAATTTAAAAAAAAACAACAAATACACAAGACACAAGGTAAATTATTAGCTGTCCGCCCGGGCTTTCCCATCATGGCCGCCATCTTGGTTGACATGACACGAGAAGTCACGTGAAGTGTCAACCAAGATGGCGGCCAAAAATTAGTGCAAAACACTCATGAAACCACTGCCCCCTCCCCCACTTTAAATACCAAAATCACAAACAAAGACAAAGGAATTATCTGTAGCCCACATGGAATTTACATACTGTGGCATGAAAGTGAACAAAAACCCCCCAAAAATGGCCAAAAATTTTTAAAAAACCAAAGAAATAATTAAAACCCCACTTACATGAATTACACTTTTACACACTTTATTTCATGTTCCAAAGAAAATAATATGCACGAATGAATAGAGCGCAACAGCCGGCATAGGGCTAACATGTTGAAAAGATGGTGGCACAAATAAAATATGATAATTAGCCAACCAATGATAATTTAAAATTATAAATAATCAACCAATTAAAATAATACAAAACATGTCATCAGCACTTCCTCCAACAATAAATAAACAAAGGGGAATGACTCCTGCACAAAAATTAAATAAACACGCAATGATGTCATGGGATGACAATTAAGAAACAGCCAAATACAATAATTAAACCAGCCTTTTTAATATAAGAAATAAAAAATAATAAATAAAATTAAACTCACATTCTATGATTATGATCTACATTGTCTACAAAACATGGATGATGGGGATGGAGATTGTAGATAACTTCCTAGCCATAATTCAAGCCTAAGAAAGGCACATTTCAATTTTCGACCCATGCCCATTTTTTGGGTAACTTGTTGGATCCTGTAAACTTTAGGATACCTTCTCCCCTGAATATGTATATTCAAATGCCAAATAAATACTAAAGAAAATGAATACCTTGGTCAGTAGTCTCCCTTGCTTTACTGAAGTGCCTAGATTGCGTTTAGTTTAATAGCTTAACCAGGTACTTTACTTATACTTAAAGAAGTAAATCTAAGACAGAACAGAATTCCTGTAGTAATGTCTCGTTGAGGCCAGTAAAAAAAAAAAGGCCTAAATTCAGTTAAAAACATGTAACATACCTGCCAACCTGCACGGTTTACCAGTAATTTTTACAGTTTTTATATGTTTGCCAAGTTGTATGGCCCTTACAGTCTTTTGCTGGATTTAGAAAATATAAATATATATTTTTGCACAAAATACAAATCAAGCCTGGGGGCGGGGGTGTAATAAATTCAACATTGACAACAAGAACCTTAAATCCTATTTGCCTGTTCAACCAAAGTTGAAGATCGGTAGGCCATCTAAATTTAGAAACGGCACAGTTTCATTGATATTATCATTCATTAATATACTAAGACAGTCTAGTACGGTAGTAATTACTTGGAGACATAAACCATAATTTCAAATGTGTTTTGTAATTCTTAATAAGAACTGCAGTTTTAGTAAAATTTTTTGTAATATATATTTATATTAAATAATTTAACATATTAATGTTACTATCAATCAAAGATTAGTATTATGAAAAAGTCATTATTCCTATTTTTTACAACGGTATGGCTTACACCCTCCGTTACTCTGAAAAATAAGGCTATAAGTTGAAGTTAAATTTAACAACTTTGTCAATATGGATGAAATTTATTTTACTCCATACAAGAAACTGTATTAACACGGCTAGCATAAGTAACAAAATAATTATGTCTAATTATATCTAATTTGCTGTTAAATTCATAATCTTTCCATTTTAATAAAATTGCTATAGACGAGTGTAAAAAAAAAATTGAAATTTGAAAAAAAATAAGACTTATAACAAGCTATTTAAAATTCAAATATGTGATGGGAAGACGATTAATTTTTTTATTCATCCATTCAAAACATTCATATAAAAGATAAAAAAGTTTTAAATTATACTTTTTTGACTTAAAATTCTTTTCTGTACAGTTTTTCATACTGTTATAAAGTTTTTTTTAAGACTTTTTTTTTTTTTATCCCACGGGTTGGCATGCATGGTTAACAAATAAAAATTGGTTGAGACTTATAATACTTGACTTAAAGGTAATGGGAAGGGTTAGACACTTGATTTTTTTATACTTTTATAAAGTTTTTTTTAAAACTTTTTTTTTTTTTTATCCCACGGGTTGGCATGCATGGTTAACAAATAAAACTTGGTTGAGACATCTAATACTTGACTTAAAGGCTATGGGAAGGGTTACACACTTGAGACAATGTGTGATAAAATTGTTTTATTATTACAAGTACAAATTTGAGATGATTGTGTGGTGGGGGAAATGGGCCAAAATAGTGTGACATTATTTATAAGATCTGATAAGATGAGATACTTTTATTGATCCAAATAAATGAAATTTTTTTTTTTTTTTTTTATTCATCTTACATATTTTTTCAGTCTTATCCCCAGAAAAAGAGGACATTTTTTACTTTTAATGAGTTTCATTGAATTTATTATTTAGGCCTTTTAATAATCAGGGTTCCAACGCAGTTAGGGAAACAGGAAATAGTAGCAAGTTCATTAAATATTATTTCTCGTCGGGAAAATGAGTATTCCTGTGAGGAAATTTTCTGGCTAGACTGGAACTTTTTAACTTGCAAAAATAATTTATTTATTTTTAAATTTAAAAAAAAAAAAATCTATTGCAGTTTTGATAGTAAAATCTACAAATCTTGTTTATTTTTAAATAATAATTTTTTATTTATTATTATTATTTTTTTCATTTTAGGAATATGTTATGTTAATATTTTTATGTGCAGTGCAGTGAGCTCAGCCCTAGGCTAGGGCAGCACACTATATAATAACACTGTAATAATAATAATAATCACATGAAATCACTCAGATATTCTTTTTGCAGTCATTATCAAATACTTTACTAACAAAATATTCATAGAGTCGGAAAACAGGAAGCGGCACATTAGATTTTGTGTTGCATATATTTTTTTGTTCAGCTTAGACTAAGGGGTTCTTTTCATGCAGAGAGATAGCTATCATCAAATACTGTAAGATTTAAATTTTTTTTTCCCCCCCCCCCCCCGCAGGTGACTTGGTTGGTTTTATCTTTGCTTGGTTTAGTCTGTTACCTTTCATTTTGATTGTCAGCTTCTCTACATTAGTTATCCTACGACGAGACCTGCACACTGTGAGTATCGTTGTCTTGTCTTATATTATTATACACATTTTTATCTATATAAGGTGACCATTTCGACCTTTCCTTGAAAGATAAAAGAATGACATTGGTTTGGGGATTGTACACGATAAGGGCAAACCAATATAATAAGCCATCTCATCTAGTAGGCCCATAGTATTAATAATTTGCTCAGATGCTGCAGTTCCTCAAATAGCAGATATTTTTTTAATCTACTTCAGCAATGTTTCACAGTTTTAGTGTGTCATAAAAAGGTTGGGAACTGCTTCACTACAGGACTATCCTATGTCAGCGCAAAATTTAAATTCAGACAGCAGTTGATTTTTGACAGGGTTACCATTCATAAATCTATACTTCCTTGTAAATCCTTTCAGAAGTTTTAGAGGCATATTATTGGAACAAAAATTTTGATTAGGTCAGCTGTCAACTTATTATTAAATATACTTAAAATTCATCCGCATGGAGTCTATAATTTTTAAGCTTGTTATTTCTAAAATTTAATGGTAGTCATACAAAAAATTGTTTTTTTAACTTAAATTTTCTTGTATTGAAATGTTTTTTCAATGAAATAAAAAAACAACTTTGATTTGATTTTCTTATTATTCATAGGTGGCATTTTTTGCAGGCTTATGCATCAGTGAAGGCATAAATATTATTATTAAACATATAGTTCGAGAGCCAAGGCCAGTTCGTGGTAAGATATGATGACAAAGCTTTTTATTAACATTTTGCAGTTTAACCTCTTATTTACCATCATACTATTACATATGCAGAATAGTTTTACTTCAACAGTTACCTTCTAAGTGTTGCGAAAACGTGAAAAAGGGGTTTTCCTTATTCCCATCTAATTTTTTCGTGCATACAACTCATTGCCAGCTTTATTGCTTTCTTTTTTTTTCGTCTAATTTGTTTCAAAATTAAATAATCTTTCCAGTTTTAAAAATAAATTAATTTATTTCCGCAATGTGTCATCATAACATGATCTTGACCTTAGACCCTGTTTAGCATGTTTTAAACTTTTATCAGTGCTAAGTTTATGAGTCCTGTGTTAAAAATATAAAGATGAAAAAAAAATGCATTTAATCTAAAATCGTGTCTCCTAAAATGGCATTTGACAAGCAGGAGTTCAGATTCATCAAAGCCATAAAATTTTTAAATTCCATCTCAAAAACATGCTGCAATGAAAGGTTTGATAAATTATTCAGTGAGATTATGATTGAGAGTTATTTAAATACCATTGAATGTTTACAATTCAACTTTCAGTAATCCATTGTTTTCTATTTATGAACAGGCCGTTCAAATTTATACACAGAGTATGGCATGCCATCAAGTCACTCACAGTTCATGTGGTTTTTCTCTTCATATTTTGCTCTGTTTTTATTACTAAGGTAAATTTTATCCACTACAACTGTGTTATTATAATATTTTGAACAATTTCAAAGTATTCCTGCATTAGAGAAGTAATCTTCAGAATTATATATTCCCTAAAATAATGTTTTTGAAAATGGACTGGTTAATAAACATGTGCTTCTTATGCACCTTATCAGATGAAGACTTAAATTGCAGTAAATCAACTGCAGGTATTTAAATTTATTTTTAATAAATTAAATTACTCTTGCGCTTAATACAGATTTATTTTAATTGGACAGGTTATACAAAAATCATTCAATAATAGATGACCTGTGGAAATATGTGTGTGCTGGGCTAGGAGTTGTATGTGCAATTTTAGTATCATGGAGCAGGTAAAGCATATGTACTTCATTAAACTAAACCTGACTCTCTTTGTTATATTACACAGGTTTTTTTTTTTCCCTGGAAGAATTTAACCTCAAAGTATTGGCTTGTTTAAAAAAGTATTTTAAATATAAATTCTGTTGTTATTTTAATAAGTTATTATTATGTTACTAGTTATAATCCTCCAAACAATGGCAGCAACAATGTGTGACCATGCCAACCATTAAAGTTACTTGACAAAACTTGCATTAAATATACTAATATTCTAATATCCTATCCCCTTTTACATAGCAGATTTCTTGCACCATATTTAAATTGAGACTTGTCGTAAATGAAAAGAAAATATTATGCACCAAACCCATTTTATTTTCCGCGCAACTAACTCACCATTATTCCACACTTTATATATACTTAGAGAATTATTAGTTGTCGTTTTAAAAAAATGACATATAATAATTTTTTTTTAAATCTTCCTGTTCAATTTATTTCTTTTTTTTAGCTATGAGAAATCAACTTGTATCACAATAGGTGAATCTATTTATGGCAGTATTTAAAGAGTAATGAGATTTAAAAACGTAATTTGTTTTTCAATTGTATTTCTTAGGGTATATCTAAGCTACCACACAATCAGTCAAGTGCTACTTGGAGCATTTATAGGCAGTGTGTTAGGTGTGCTTTGGTTTGCAAATGTCCATTTTTTATTAACACCTGTGTTCCCTATCCTTGCAAGCAGGTAAGAATTTCAGTGTTATTTTTCTTAATTTTTAATTATAAAAAAAAAATGTTAAAAAGTGCTAAAGACGGATCAATGAGTAGGAATAATGTTTTGTTCTTTTGTCCCTCTTTAAACCTGTTGGTTTAAGAAAAAACTTAACCGGGCTGTATTATTTTCACAATGTAAATTTGTTTACCCTCTGAGAAAACGACCATTTTCAATTTCTATCATTAGCAAGCAGTTCAATTTTTTTTTCTTCTCAATAATGTTACAGTTTTTAAAAAGCTGCTCTATACACGTATGATTACAATTGACTTTTTTTTTTCTTCCTTCTGCAGCCCTATTGGAGAATTCCTTATGTTAAGAGATTCGACATTGATACCTCATGTTTTATGGTTTGAATACACTTGCTCCAGATCAGAAGCACGGTAAATCAAACACCATATGTATTTGCATGGCGTGCGCTCATGATATTAGTTACAACTTTTAAAAATGGGTTATTAGATAATTTTATAGTGGTTAAAACCAGCCTCTGTACAATATTAAAATAAAAACACTTTGCATTTGTAACAGCATCATCAGGGTTGATAGTTGACATTCATTTCAATAAGTGCTGCATAGTCTATAATCTCAATTCAGTTTTTTTAGACATTAATTTTAATAAGTGCTGCATAGTCTATGACTCTATGATCTCAATTCAGTTTTTTAGACATTAAATCTGTAGTCAATTTTTAAATATTTTTTTTTAACTTCAATTTTGATAAGGAGATTAAAAAGTATAGGAACCACATTCTTCAGCTGCTTCTTTAAAATTACTATTTAAAGAATTGGACCATGATATTATGATGAAAAATTATAAGAATCAGTGGCGACTCATCAGCCCTTATTTATGCCCTCCTCCTGCCAGAGCAGATTGAAATACATCTATTTTAGAATGTCCCATTTGCTTTGCAGAAGTCGTCAGAGGAAGATGTCTTCAAGAAAATCCCAATGATGGTACGCCATATGGAGGTGATTACATCCATATTTAGTAGGAATGATGCTAAAGCAAAAATCTTCAACTAACATTGCCTGTGATAACATTTCCGCCATTTATGGCCAGCGTAATCAACTTCTCAAGCTGCTGTATGTGTGCAAGCTAATGTGCATAAACAAATGTTTATATAGATTATACAACACTTCCTTGCCTCGTTTCATGCTTAACGGTACAAGGTGATGTTGGTCTCTAGAATATTTTTATTTGCATTTAAATGTTTATTTTTTTAATTTCGTGTGTATTTTTTAAAAAAAGGATTATTCAAGACCCAAATTTGAAGTTTTTATTATAATAATTGACAGACGGTCTATAATTATTTTATCAGCCTTGTAATTGTTTACTATAGAGTGTGATAGAGCTACAGATAGTTTTATTATGTATTTTTCATGAACTTTTAATTCACATTATTTGACATGGTTGATCCCTAAATTTAGTTTGTCCGTTAACAGTGCTCGTAAACGGCACTATGGGACAGTAAAAAATCCATGCTGCAATGAACTGAATGAGCAGATGTTCTATAGTCTGCATGAAGCATACAGACAATCCTATATTTTCTCACAGGGTTGCAGCAGTTTCAGCTAATCAGGAAGTACCGCTCAAGATTGTGTTTGTTGAACTGTGCATTCTAGATTAGTTAATGTGTTTCACATCAGATTTTCGTAAAGGAAAAGAAAATAAGAATTACTCTCCCTGGAATTAAATGTGCTTACCTCATAAATTTGGTAAGAGATCATCATGATGTTTTAAGTGTTTCTTGAAAGTCCTGAGAGTTTTTTACCATTGAAGAGTTTTGTAAAGGAGAGACTTCCAATGAACCAGAATATCCTCCATTACAGTTTAAGTTGAGTTAGGTTTATTTAGGTGAAGCCTTTATCAGAGTGGAACCAATATCTCGGCTAAAATTGTTTCATCCTGTCCTAAGCAACGCTTCTCTATATTTGTACCTTTTAATAAGCGTTACCTTATTCCAACACCTGTTACAAGTCAGACTTATGAAAAGTTAATTATTTTAATCTACCACTTGGACATAATTTTTTAAGAGGGTTATGCTGCCTGTTATTTGTTGCCAACAATAAAATTACGTACCTGTATCTGAAATCTTTTTGACACTGGAAGCCGAATTGTCTGCCTCAGACTCTACCAACTTCAAATCTTAACAAGAAACAAGTTCTTTTGTTATTTTTGCAAAGAAGCCACAAATGACATTTATTACTTGATAAATACTTCCCAATTGTCACATATAAATTTACTTCAAAACTTCTTTCTGAAGGGCCAGTTCAGTTAGTCTTAGAAGATAACATGTATAAAATTGTGAAAGTATTAAGTTTCCATTGCAAAACTGGCCGTGATGTCAAACATACTTCTTGATCACCATTGAGAAATGAAGGTAATTTAAAAATTATGGTTTTTAGTACGTTTATTTTGTTATTTTCCCCATTCGTTTCTTGACAGTTGTGATCATTTTTAAAAAAATAATATTAAATTGTATATTAAAATAACTCTTCCCTTGGCAATAATCTTAATTGAATTTTTGCTGTTTCTTTTATCTACCCCTATTTTACAAAACATCCATATTTTATATTATATTCCACACATATGTTCCTATTCTAGAACTTAATGTGTCTATGTTTGTGAAAATTGTGTCTGTTTTCAACTTGTTATGATAATTGGAAGGGTCTGATTTATCACATTTATTAGAATAAAAAATATATCTCAATGTTTAGCTATTTTCTTGTGGTATAACCATACTTAAAACTTTGATTTTTTTCAATAGTTGTGGAAATACTCAGATATGAATAACTAATTGTATGAAATCCCTCCATTCCATATTTGAGAGAGTAGAAAATTAATTTTTTTAATTAATCATAGGATTCAAATGATGAGAAATTTCTTGGCTCTATAGTTCAAAATAATTGACAAACATTTGAAACTGCCTTAATTTGAATTCTTGAAAATTGTTAGATTCTATTAAAATACAAAAAAAGAGCCGTTTCCATTGTCATGATTAGAGAAAACTTTCTTAGACATTTTCATTTCTAATTCCTTATTCACAAGATTTTATAACATGATCTGTTTTGGGGAGCTAAGAACTTCTTTTTAGAATTCCAGTGTGCATGTTTTATATAGAACACCATCATACATCTTGAAAAGTGTGTGGATTAGAGCTAGAAGTCTTTGACCTGAATATCTTGTGTGATCTCAGTAGTAAAAATTGGTCTAGATTTTTTGGGGGTTAATTTGACCTGTGATGTTGTTTCTAAGATCTCTTTTTTTATTTGATTCTTTGAATTTCTATGTCTTATTTACTTTCCTTCTGTGTGCTACACCGGTAATTCTTGATGCCTGAAACTTCCTCGAGGTGCTATTTAAAAGCAGGTGTATATACTATAACTATAACTCTTTTGTGTGAAAATCTATGGCTAGCTGAGGAGCATAACTTGTTTATGATAACTCTTTCTAAAAGGGGGACTCAACATTTGCCCGATTTAATAAACTGAACCTTAATGACCTTCTGGTGTTTGAATAAATAGAATTGTTGAGCTTCATGTGACCGAAGGAGCCCTCTCCTTTATCTCCATTGGTAACAAAAACCAGCTAACCATAATGTAAAGTTACTGCAATGTAACCCATGTTACATATCAATGCATATGATATTTACATCTGTTCGGTGCACCATTCTGGCAAGCAAGTTTACAAATGTTAAGTATCAGATGACAATGAAATCAATAATTTTCAGGCCTCACCATCCTCATTACTCTGTATCTCTTATGTGAAACCTGTTGTTTCTCCGTGTAACATTGTCTCACCTGCAGTTTTTTTTCCTCCGGTTTTTAATAACTAGCCTGGGCTAAATCTAGGCCATGTGTTGTTGGTGATCTCCAAACATCTGTTTTTTTCTCACATTCTTCCTTACAATACCCCTCACCACCATTTTTAAGTGAAATTTTATTGTACTAACTGTACCTTAACATTTTGGACCTATTTGGACCACATTGCACACCCTCAGGGGGTTACAGCACTCATTGGGAAGACTGATGTTTTAAATTTAAAGTATTGTCATTTTAAAACTCTATCTTATCATTGTGAACTATGTATTAATCCAACATCGATTCTTTCCTTTTTAAGAAGTGTTTATTATCATAATTTTGTGACAAATTCTGTGGCCGAGCTAACATTTTAAAAAAAAAAGATTTTTCATTTCTAAATCCCTTGGGCTGCATATTGAGTTGGTCGCATCAGTTCTTAATTGTTCCTCTTTTAATTGTCATCTACTAGATCCTATATATCCATGTCTCTTGTTGTCATTTAAAATTTTACCAGCTATGAGATAATATTATAATTATTTGATGCATTCATTCATTCAAATTTTTAAAGATACTTATTTTAAATATAATATTTATATGTATCATGTTAGTCTTTCCTGTAGATCTGTGCACTCTGTTTTTTTCTAAACAGTCTTACAGGGGTCCTTGGACCACATTGCTGTATGGAATAAATTTGGATGACTGGAATAGTTATGCAGCTGTGTTAGATGGCTTGACATGAATAAATCTTAATGTATGTTGTTTTGGCGGATGGGAATCATACCTGAAGATAATCACTTGATTAAAACAGAGATATGCATTATGGTGTGTGTGCTCATTTTTTATTTTAATTTAGTTTTATTTTCATCCCTGTGATGCTGCAGCTCATGTAGGGCTTTGGCCTGCCTCACAACTTTCTTCCACTCAGACCCAAGTCCTTGGTTTTATTCCCTGTTAAAAATTAGTGGTACCTGCAGGCAAATATGTTCAGGAAGAAACCAGTGTTTCAATAATGAAATCAATATTTGACTGTAATAGTAATAATGGGGAAAAGTTTGTGGCATTGGCGAAAAATTTAAATAAACTGTCATACATGTGTGTCAAATTTGGGAGACTGATTCAATTATTTTTTACAATTATGGTAGTAGCACCGGATGCTATGATTGGAGCTTAAAACTGTGCCCCCCAAAAAATCAAATAAAACCTGCAAATCAATGAATGATAGTTTTGACATGTACACTAAGCAAGTCTGGAGAAGGGGAAACTATGCTTAACTTAGGACAAAACAGAAGTCTTTGAAATAAGGATGCCTCCAATAGACCCACACAATTACACATGCATTAACATAGTTTTGTAAAAATGTTTATCATCAAGGATTTGTTTGAGCTAAGTTGGTTATTTTAACCAGGGCTGCATTGAAGAATTTTTCAAAACGCAATAGAACAAAAATATCTTAAAGAATGATATCACAATTCAAAATGTATGTGTAAATTAGTCTACACACAACAAATTTTTAAACCCCCCCCCCCCTTCCAAACCACGCAAATACACTGATAAGAAATTGTTGTTGAGCTTTCTGTGGGGGTTATTTATTTCTGATTACCAGTATATATTCGTACAATTCAGTTAAATCTGATTTCATTTTTACAATCGGAATACCATAGTATATTTATATATAAATATATGTATAAAAAGAAACGTTAAGTATATTGTTCTGCGTTGTGACTATCATTCTACAAGATTTAACAGGTAAAACTTGACTTGTGGTGATGATAGAATTGTATTAATTAGTCTGCACTTTTGTGTTCATTTATATTTTTTTATGTTCTCATGATCAGTTCAATGCAGAAATTTTGGGATCAGACCCACCCCATTTCCATGGCTTTTCCCCGTTGTAAAACAAAGGGAGGACACCTGTAAAGGGGTGTGCTTGCTACATTCGCAAGCTACTCTTTGATTTGTTTAAAACAATGTCTGGTATAAGTAATTTTAATTGTAGCTACATGTTAAAAATTCTCTTTGATTTGTGCATACTCTTAATACTTAATAGTTTTAGAAACTGTTTCTATCAAAGACTTAACTTTGATTACTTTGGAAAAAAATAATTAAAACTAACATTAATTACCAGTAAAAATAGTTTTTGTACTAGCATTCACTGAATATAATTATAAGTCTTAAGGAACAAACTAATTAGATACTACCTGTAGTGGGGAAGTAGACAAGATCCACTTTAGTCCTATTAAAATTGTTTGTAATTTTACCACCCCTGACTTTCATAAACCAAAAAGATTGATATAAATAATATAATAAATATTGATTATTAGTACACTGGGAGTAAAATAAAACATTTTTAATTAGTTCATCGTCCTTCAAATTGCCCGGCACGTCTAGGTTGTTTTTCTTTGGTCTGAATTTCTTCATTGCTTGGTTAGTTGTGTAAATATTCTGTCGAAGCAATAGAAAGTTAGCACTTTTAAATCATTAAATTTAGAAGTTGACCACACAAAAAATGGGTTTTGAGAGCTGAAAACTGTGGGACTATACAAAATAAGTCATAAAATGAAACTCTTTTTGTTGTATCAATCAATTTAAATATTATGTCTTATGTGTTGTGAGTGGCACAACAGCTATGTCCCCCTTCGTTAATGTGAGAGTATTTTTCTACGTAATGGTGTCACATTGTTTTATTGTTACAATGGTCAGTTTAAAATCTGTCTCTTCTCGTCGTTGCATTTTATCAAATATATAAACACCATATTGTCAACTGTTCTCTCTTTATTTTTTATTCCCAAATAACGCACAATGATTTCAAGTATAGATTAAATATTTTTGACTATAAATTAATATATGTTTATGTCTATGGAAGCTCCGGGTAATTTCAATTGTTATGTTCATGTCATTGAAACAATGCTAAATGTTCAAATATGCATCCACTCTAATACTAATAGATTCAGTGACCTTGTATCTCCAGTTTTATATTTAAATGGCTCTTTGATTTTTTGTAAGTGTTAAATATGTTACATCCAAATATTTTTGACATTTTAAAAATCTCTTATTAGTCTTATTATATGTATGTGCAGGTATATGACAATAATGACATGGTGTAGTCAATGTTTTGACTGAGATTTTTACCATTTGATTCCTAACCTCCTCCACCCAAATAATTAACAAATCCTTTACTTAATGTACACTAAATCTTTATTGACTTCATATTTTTTCTATGCAGTTGGCTGGGTACGAAAAAATATAACGAGCGAGAGAGAAATTCTGAGAAAAGGGCAATCAGTTGACGTCATCAAGTCTGATTTTAACATCTTTTCAAAGGGCATTTTAATATTTATTTAGTTTTTAATTATACCATGGGTTGTTTAAAGGACAGTAATGGTGTTAGACAAAGTGTATCTTGGTTACCTAATGAGCTCTTGCTAGAGACGCCAAAATGACATGTCCAGACAAAGCTAAGTCAGGGCTTTGACGAGAGATAAAACTGTCCAACTCTCTAGGACGGTCATGTCTTTTCTCATGAGATCTTAGATATCAGTCGTGAGAAAAATTTCTTAATGTTTTCAAAATGCTTTTTGATTTGAAATATTAGAATTCAGTAGGCTTTTTTGCATGAAATTTTATGTGTGTTTCATTGAAAAAGATTCCAATGTGTCAAAAAAATAACTGGCTTAACTATATATAATCTAGACATTTCAGTTTTCATAAAATGATTCAATTTTAAGACTAATATGATAATTTATGCAGGTAAATTGCCTGAAATAATTGACTTTTTAAAGGACAGTGCAAATAAAAAAACGTATACCTTTGTTTTTAATGTAATTATTTTAACCACCATTTTTCCAAAGCCACTATTTTAGCTTATTAATGCTGTACATTTTTTTTTTTTTCTAAATTAATTTATTTTGCTTGAATAAAGTGTTGAGTGTAAAACCTTGTTTACTGACTTCTGTCCTTTAAGAAAAAAGTTAACTTGTTTTAAATAGTTCTTTTATTTGATCAATCAGAAATACTATAATTTTATAATTTACTCAACAACAAAAATTATATATATTTATAATTTTTAAATTTTTGGTGTAGATTTTAAATGTTAGGATTTTCTTTTAGTACCAGTATTAAAAAAAAAAAAAAAGGTTAAATGGAGGTTTTCCATTTATCCAAGTTAACTGAAAATATTTAATTAACAACAAAAATTATATATATTTATAGTTTTTAAATTTTTTGTGTAGATTTTGAATGTTAGGATTTTTTTTTAGTAACAGTATTAAAAAAAAAAAAAAAGGTTAAATGGAGGTTTTCCATTTATTCAAGTTGACTGAAAACTGATTTCATAATGAGTTACATAGAACCCATCACTCCGTCTCTGACCATCCATTGTACACAGGAACAGACTTTCCACAGGCTGTTCTCCAAATGTTGTATGGATCACATGTGAATAAATCGAGGGCTGTATGTTCCTGCTACCAAACAGTTTCCTTTCAGGCCTTTTGACTTTGATAATGGTGACATGTGGTGTAAAGCCCTCATGTTCATCTCTGATTTCTACACCAAAAGCAATCATCTTTTCTCTTAGCAATTTCTGAAACTTTGTCAAGTCTTCTGTTTCTTTAATTTTGGCATAGATTGCTCTGTTGTAAAACTGTGACATGCTATACACCATCAAAGGTGTTTGGGGTACTGAAGACTTAAGGTCGGGTTCAAACTGTTCTAGAGATGCAATGCAGTGTTGTATTTGTTCAGGCGTGTCGAGCCCAAGTGTACACAAAGTTAAGTGAAAAGTTTCTTTTTGAAACACACCTTTGGCAAGAAGAGGTTCCTTATAAACCAATTGTTTTTGAACTTGTTCCAAATTCTTAACAATGGCTTCATTTGTTATTCTCACTGCAATAAAATGAGTTGGTCTTGCAGGTTTCTTATTCCCAGATTTTTCTTGTTGATAGCTTGATTCCCCCCTTTTATCTCCTAAAACTCCAATGTAACTCTTCTCATTTATGTCTATATCAGATGGTTTGTTCTCTCCGTTGAAGCTTTTTTGACCAATTTCAGCGTCTCTTACATTTTTATGTCTTTTGTATTTTTTATTTTTGTTCACCTCAGTCTTTGTCTGCGTTTCTTCAGATTTCATTAAACGGTAACCTTCACTGACTAAAGTTAGGAGCATCGGTTGGCCTTTCAATGCAGAAGCTTTTGTTTCCAATAACCTTATCAGGTCATTAGTTGCTGTCTTTGTCAGGCAGTCAGAACTGATGGAAATAGCTGGTTGCAGTTCTGGATATTGGGCAGTGAGCTGAAATCTAAGAAACAGATTTTTTTCATAGAAAGGTTGGACTAAAACTGTCAAGGAACCATCTGGGCTATTGGTTGGTAACTTTTTTGTATTTGGATAAGTCTGACTCAAATTCTCAATTTCACTCAGTAAACTATGACTGTGAGATTTTGAGTTACCGGTACTAGAGGATGCAGAGGACTTGGGTAGATTTTCTTGGGTCATGGCTCTAAAGTCCTGGTAAAGAAAGAAACAAAAAAAAAGATGATACTGTATTATAATTTATGATTAAGTTATCAACTACATAATATATTGTAATATTACATTCCTTCAAGTTCTCAAATGTAATCATTCTGCGTGAGATATTTAAATTAAATATTTGTAATTTCTTTAATACAAATAATATTCAATTTACTTGTTAACCCTGTCAGCTCAAAGTCACTCAATGTGGACCGGAAGTCGTGTGAGCTATATTATTATCATGATACATGATATTAATTCTGTGAAATCCCATTGCCCTTTAGGAATTGTAACTGAAATTCAATTGAGAATGTTAAAATTGATTATAATTAAGTTATAGCTGAAAAGAAAATGTCCTGCAAAACCTTGTGGTGTACGGAACCCAAACTCTCAAAGAAAAAAATATATTTATATAGCTTTATATTTGTAAAGTAACTAGTTTTATTTTTTTATAAATTTGTTTAAACGTAAGTGCAGGGTTTGTGAAAAAGGGCTCCATCTTTTTGGCACAGATAGCCCAAAAAGGCTCCATCTCAAGAGGATTAAAATCTTGATTCTAACAAGATCACTGTACCACTGAACTGTACAGTACATCTATTTCAAAACCATAAAATTTTCCAGATTTATATCAGTGGAAATTATTCTGCAATTGGATTAGGACTTATTTAGTCAGGAAAAAATAAGATTCACCTGCTTTTACTTGACTTAGACTATACTATATACTAAGTTATACTTGACTTATTGAATCATTTAAGATTTAGCACCTGCTCATAAGTCATAACTTACTAGTAACTAGGCAGAAGCTCTGTGTAGTGTAGATCACTATACTATACTAAACTAAAAAAAAGTCTCAACTTTATCAAATGTGTCAGACTTTACACTACATAAATTAATTATTATATATAATTAATATAAATTAAAACTTTATCTTTTACGTTAATTTATAACTTAACTAATAGTAATCAGTAATATTATAACTATAACTAGTATAACTTACTAAATCCTGCTCTATAATATAATATAATTATAAAAATATTAATAATATATATTAGGGGGCGTCCATTAATTACGTCAATGAAATAGGGGGGGAGGGGGTTTGGAAATGTTTGACAGTTGTTGACAATGGGGAGGGAGAGGGGTTTAGATTAGTTGACGTCAACAATCATGTTTTCTCTATTAAAAATTGACTGGTTATTACAATATTTAAAAAAAAATTATGTGTAAATGAGTGTAAATAGTCATATAATTTTTAGGCTTTTAACAATATAAGATTTATTTAATGTGTGTCTGTCTCTGCACTGCAGATGGCTGGTCAGAATGTTAGCACATTTTGTTAGTGCAAGAGAAGTCAAAAGTTGGTCTCTCTTCACCTGTGAGATTCTGTTGCAGGTATGGAACAAGGACAAGCTTCATGTGCAGTCAAGATAAATGATATTGATGAGTAGGAATACAATATTTTGAGAATTATGTGGATTTAAAGTGAGTAACATTGCTGCTTGAACGGATTTGCAAAATCTGTAAAATCTATTTTTCGTCACAAGGGTGCTGGGTGGCCGAGTGGTCTAAACTGACCAAATAGTGGTGGTCTGGAGTTCAATCGCCGCCAAAGCCAAAATCCCAAGCATCCCTGGTGGATGGGACTCCTTAGCCTTGGAAGGCAACTCATCTAAGAGAAGTCTAACTCTGAATTCAAAACCAGGAGCCAAAATGATCAATAAATTGATCATGGGCCTTCAAATATGAAAAAAACAATTATTAGTGGTTTTATATAGCACGATACAACATGTTCAACAGCACCGACAATGCACATAAGAAATTAGCACCTGCTTCTCAAAAAAAAGGATTCGAACATAGGGAGTAGCTGCAAGGAGAGAGAGAGAGCTTATGGCAATTATTGCTCACACTGACGATGCTTCTATTTTAAGTGCTGAATGGTTAGATGAGAATCAGGTTACATGAGGAGGATGTTCACGTGTCTGGTATATCAGTGCCACAAGATGAAAATGATAATTCAACTACTATACTCTATGCCCCCCAGGGGCGTCATTTCAGGTTTTTTTCATGGGGAGGATGACAAAACCATTGTTAAGATAGAGCAAACCTGGCTACTCCTTGGGAAGATGATAGCAGCTAGAAATTATATGCTACTATAATTTATAATTGTCAGCTTTACTGATCACTGACAATAATCATAGGAGTTATACCACAATGATATTTCGTCTTTAACAACCTTTACATTGATTCTGCATTATAAAATTCAAGTGTAAAAACTGTTTAACTTGTTGATTAAACAAGCTAAGGCCTAAGGCTAAAGATGTAATGAAATGTCAATGAAATGTTTTGCCTACAATTTTGTGTCATTAAAATACTAGATAAGCAATAAAAATGTATTTATAAACGTATTTATAGTATAATTCCTTCTTTTTTTTTGGGGGGGGGGGTGTGGTGAAAATGTTGACATAATGAAATGGGGAGGGGGGCGTCATTGAAAGTTTAACATTTCTTGACAAGGGGGTGGAGGGGGTAAAAAATTGCTTAAAATTGTTAATGATAATGTAATTAATGGACGATTCCTTAATATAATATTATTAAATTAAAAATTAATAGGCTATCAAAACTTTCTTTTTTAATTCTTAGCCGTGTTACGTGTAGGGTAGTGTTATTGTCTAAAGTTAAGTCTAGTGTCATAGGAAGTTAATAAGTTAAAGTTAAGTCAAGCCCTTACAGCCTTACACTTACACTCTACGTTGCTACATGACAACTACAACTATTACTATACATCAATTTTCCGGAGTCTGGAGATCAACATCCCAATATTAAAGTAACTCTATAAAGTAAAGAGTGTATAGTATATATCACATGTATTCGCAGGGCAGGCTAATGAGACACAAATAATTTGTGTAAAAAAACAAAAAAAAAAACAATATATGAAAGCTTTAATTATGGTTACACAATATAGCCTACTAATTCAAACTTTAAGACAAATGTTTTTATCTGTTGTGAAAAAAAAAATTAATATGATTAATTTAAATTTTACATTACACACTCACGCATGATTATACCAAGACCTTACCTAAAATGAAAGAAAAAAATATGGGCACAAATATTTGTAGGGAAATTCTTTTTCTTGAAATAATTAATATGTTATTCATAAAGATGAATAATATTAAACATTATCTGATAAACAATTTTAAAATATTATTTAAAAATCGGCCAGATTTTTATAAGATAACTTAATTTAAAAAAATGAATTGTTATTCATGTTGTATGTCATAAAGTTAAAGCATTTTCACTCTTAAATTTAAATTAAAAAAAAACAACTGTATTTACTTTCAGTTTCAGTGTTAAAGATGTTGATCTGGGGATTTTTCAAAGAAGACACAAATTTAAAATCAAATCAACTTACTATATAAGTTAAATTTTAAATGAAAAAGTAATTAGTTGGAATAAGACTACTTGATGTTAACTAGAACACAATAAATGTTTCATAAGAAACCAATTATTAATATTTTCTCATTTTTGGCTATTTAGACGACATGACTTGGTCTTGTTTTAGTTTAGGGTAAGCACAAGCGAACTTTTTACCACAATAAAATTTATGGATTAAAAAACAATTTTACAATTATTAAAGCATTTTATTTAGGCTACCAGGGCCCATATTTGTAATATTTAAAAAAAGAAATTATTTAAATATTTTGTTAAGTGTTCTTCAGAATAGATACTGTATAAAAAAAAATAGATTGCGAAGTGTTAAAAAAAAAAATAACTATTTCCTGTGGGTGCCCTTCATACTTTTCAAATTAGAAGATCTGAAGATCTGTGATTTCCGCCAGACCCAGCCCTCTTTGGATTTACGTCTGACGGGAATTATTGGCCAATAGTATTTTGAATTGTGTTTTGCCAAGGGCAACATATAATTTAAGAATGCCAAAGACAGAAGAACCTACCTATCCGTTTTGTCCCGATGAAACAAAATACGAAAAGCTTGCCAAAATTGGACAAGGAACATTTGGGTAAGTGACACACTGCCAACAATCATTAATGAAATTATTAACGAACAACAGTCAGACACACTGATTGACACAGTACAATGAGTACATTGACTGTTAAGACTATGGCCTATGGACTATTCACTGACAATGTTAGTGGGATCCTTGTTGTGTTGAGTAGACACAATGGCGAGAAGACTACCGTGTCGTATTTTATTATGTGAGTAGGCATGGGATTGACTATTACTCTTACAGAGGTTCTGGGCTGGTTTTGAGTTAGCGGCAAAGGGTAAGGCCGACGATGTGTTCCACGGTATATAGGTCATGGAGTTTCCCCCAGATCCATTTCCATCTACAGTGCCATACTGAAAAGATTTCGATGTTTGTAATTACATAATGCAAGTTACTGTTTTCTTATTTTATATTTTTTGTTAAATTGAGGAGGGGTCTCCCCCCCTCCCCAGAGAATTTCTATTTTTCTTATTTTGGTATTTAAAGTGAGGGGAGGGGTTTTGCATTCCAAATGCAATTTAAGAAGTAGTCTTAGTCTTCCTTTTGTTACCTAAGTTTCAACATACGGGTATTTTGATTTCAACTAATCAGCAATTTTGGCGGGCGTCTTTTTTTTTCACCGGTGTTGGGTCTTGGGTGTGTTTCTTTTTTTCCTTCTTTTTGAAACGTGTAAGTTGAATTTTAATACAAATTAATGGAAAATTTCATTTCAATATACTTCATTTAACCGTATCGTTTATGGCGTGAGTAATGCTCAATAAAGAACAAGAATGTTATAACACACATCATTCGGGTCCTTAAAAGAATAGATCTATTCACCCTAAGTCCATTGTTGGGAGTCCCCAATGTGACCTCACTGTGCTTAGGGTGAGAAAACTCTTGGCAAAACCCATACTGTTAACTCAAAATTTACAGAGGTTCTGTTCTGGTAGTGTTCGTTGCTGCATCCATATACTGGCATGTGCAACAGTTGGGGAAGCGATGTTGCTATTCTAACAGCTCCTAGCAGATGCCAGGGCAGCCTTGAAGCTTTCGACCGATGTCAAGTCGATAGCAGTATTGTCTAGGTGGTTTCAAGGGATTATTGTGCGTGGGAAGAATGATTGTTGATACTGCACTGTGCTACACCGTAGAGTTTTTCTATGCAGTTGGCTGGGTAAGAAAAAATATAAGGCGTGAGAGAGAAATTCTCGGAAAAGGGCATTTAGTAGACGTCAACATGTTTAACATCTTTTCAAAGGGCATTTAACATTTATTAAGTTTTTAATTATACTGTGCAATGGGTTGTTTAAGGACAGTAATGGTGTTAGACAAAATGTATCTTGGTTACCTAATGAGCTCTTGCTTGAGACGCCAAAATGACATGCCTAGACAAAGTTAAGTCAGGGCGTTGACGAGAGTCCCATCATGCAAAAATCCCTTTAGCTTAGGCTTGATTGGGTTTCACTCTTTTTTGGCCTAGTGTAATAGTTACTTGGTTAAAAAATGCAAAAATAATTATAAAGATATTTATTAATTATTATTGTCGGATAATCAGAATCAACTCTCTATATGATATATGAATTTTTAAAATATGAGTTCGTTTGGTATTATTACTCTATGGAGTACGCCTGCACATTTTGTGACTCCATTATGCTGAATCAAGTCCTGTGCAACAACTTTTGTTTTAATGATAATTTTATACAACTTTTATTTTTTTTTTAGAATAAGTGCTGTATTGAAAATTAATTTAATTAATAGTGGTGATAATTGAATATTTCATCAGTATTGGCATATTCCACCACTAAAAGGGTGTGTGGTCAAAATGGGGCCAGGCGACAACTCATTGTAATGCAGGTTCCTTAGATGAGCATAACCATTAGACGACATGTCCTAGCTCAATGACACATGACTCACACATATACATCATAATACTATTTTTATACTATGACTAAAGACTGCATATCCACAATGTCAATGTGTACTTGATTCAACTGATTGCTCCATGCACTATAACTCTTCTTGTTTAAATAATAATTTGGTCAATTTATGCAGTCTACGCCACTTTGGGTTTCTGTATAGGATTTTCTCCCCTCTGTTTATTCATGGAGGTTAGTTTTTATTTAAGCGTATTTGATGAAAATATAAGTTGGATTTTTAATCTTTTTATTCAAATTGACGATCTTTTCAGTACAGTACAGTGTGTAACTGTTGCACAAAAACACATGGCTTTAGGGTTCACATTAGGTGATAGGTCATAGATTTTAGTTTTGAAGATTTATGCTCAAGTTAGTGGGGACTAAATTGAGGGAGTAAATTTATGCACAAGTGGGGGTTTGGGAAGATAATTGACGTTTTAGTTAAGGATACTGACTTAGCATTCATGTTAGTCCTTTTTAACGAATAGTCCTTTTTTTATTTTACTGAAGAAGCACCAACATCCAAAAAATTGAAATCTCAGATTCTTGTACGCTGACGTCCATTTCCCATACACATTTTGAAGTAGTCACCCTTGCTTCACCAAAGTGCCCAGGCCCATGAAAGTGATGTCAAACCTTTTAAAGACATATTAATAAGACACGAACAAATTGTGTCAATAGAACAATATGAGTTAGCTTTAATAATAATTGTACATTATACAGAATTAAACGTTTCGGCACATGCCTTCATCAGTACAAACAAACACAACACATTTAAATAAGTATAAATTAAATTTACATAATGTCAATATATATATCCTACCTAAAACAGAAAAAATATAGGAGAGGGCGCTTAAACCTGACAAAAACAAAGTAAAGAGATGTAGAAAGGAAGTGATTCAAACATAATTGGAAAAACCAAACAGGAAAAAGACATGGCAGCTAAGTAAAACTATGGATTTGGTTCAATCCATATGGAGACAACGTACCAAATCTAGTTATTAATTTGTTCTCCATATAGATTCTATCTGCAGTGTTACTAGTATAGAGTATACCAGTAACTACAATATCTGAGATACCATTATGGTTAGGGCTATTGAAATGTTTGGAGACCGGACAGAGAGCGTGTTTATTTATGTTATAGAGGTGCTCTCTGAAACGGTCCCCAAGGCGACGACCTGTCTCTCCTATGTATAGTTTACCGCACTTTTTGCAAATGATGGTGTAAATCACGTTGCGACTTGTGCAGGTAAAACCATCTTTTATTCTGAATACTCCCAGAGGGAAAGTGATCGTATCAGTTTCGATCACATAGGGACATGAGTTGCAACGGCTACGGTTGCAACATTTTGTGCCTTTATATGCTTTAATAGCAGGGAGGTGGCTTCTAACTAGCATGTCCCTAAGGCTCTTGTCCCGCCGGAAAGCGAAAAGAGGAGGTTTTCTAAAAATCGCATTTGTGACAGGGTCCGCCATAAGAATGGAGCGGTTTTTAAGAACCAGAGAGCGAGCTTTTAGGTTGTGGGGATGAAAAGTTAAGATAAATTTAGACCTATCGCTAGTGTCAGAATGAGTAGCTTTAAAAGAAGCCTGTCTAGTCATACCTTTAACTCGAGTGACAGCTGCTTTTAAAATTTCTTCGGGGTATAATCTGCGTCGGAAAAAATCCAACATTTCAGACATTCTTTCTCCAAAATCTTCTTCATTACTACATAGTCTTCTGAGTCTCAGCAACTGAGAAAATGGGATGGAGTTTTTACACCATTGAGGGTGGGATGATGAATATAGCAAGAAGCTATGACTGTCTGTTTGTTTATAAAAAATGGACGTAGATATTTTGTTCTCATGAAGGTTAATTCGTAAGTCCAAAAAATTGATGGTGCTTTTATGGATCATTGAAGTGAATTTAATTGTTGGATGAAAATTTCCAATGAAGTAAATAAAACTTTCTAGTTCTGTTATGTCCATATTAGTAATCCCTATACAATCATCAATGTATCTTCTGTAGTATTCTGGGAAAGGACCTTGGTAGTGTTCTCTCCAAAGATGTTCCAAATGGCCCATAAATAAGCATGCATAACTTGGTCCCATTTTCGTTCCCATAGCAACACCACTGATCTGATCGAAAAATTCGCCATTGAATTCAAACGAATTAAGCTGTAGAACCAATTCAGTCAAACGTACAATGGCACTTGTTGGAAAATTGGGATTGGGATTCGTATTCAGAAAAAATGAAATTGCGATGAGTCCATCTGTGTGGGGAATCGAGGTGTACAGTGAAGAAACGTCCATTGTAAAAAGTAAATGGGTTTCATTAGGTAAAACCAAGGACTCGAGAGATTTGATCATGTGGTTAGTGTCCTTAATATACGATGGTAAATTTTCAACCATGGGCTGGAAAACTGTATCCAAAAACTCAGAAATCAGTTCAGTAGGACAAGAACAAGCTGAGACAATAGGTCTTCCTGGACTTCCCTCCTTGTGAACCTTGGTAAACCATGCTTGTATTTGCTTCCAAAACCCACTTTCTAATTGCACAGTGCCAATACTGCTATTTAACCTGAATACTGAAGTTCTAATTAAGATTCTTGGTAGAGACCGAAATTCATGCAAAATAGACCCTTGAGTGCCCTTTTCTTTTATAATATAATTACAATCTAGAAGATATGCCTATAACAATTAATGTGGCTCTAATAAAGTCAATTATAACCTAAATATCAGGCTATAGAAATATCACGAATTGTTTAGCGGTTTTCGTCATACTTAATGTTTTGTGTTTTCATAAATATCTGGCAAGATATTCCTGTATTAATAATTAGCCTAGTACCAACACATTAGTCTTACTGTGCTGGTGACTAAATTATTTCGTTCGGTGACCAACTTACCTCACCTCCCTTGGTGGGTGGGAAATTATTTTTATTTTTTTAACCGGGTCTCTTAAAATAGTTCTTCTGACGGGTCTCGACGGAGAATCGCAGCAAGACATCTAAATTGGTCGCCTAAATCATAAAAGTAAACAGGTCTGCCGTTGGCCTACTACAAAATTATAATACAAGCCAGTGATACATGCACACACTTGTTATTTCGTCAATAACAATGTTTATGAGCATGATAATGATGAATTTCACGAAATGAATGATTTGAAAAATAGGTTTCCTTGATATATGTTTCCTTAATTAAAAAAAAAAAATGAAACAAAAATAATAGGAGAAATATTACCATTCCCTAGGATTATGCAATATTATTTACCTGTGCCTATGACAAAATTGATGAGCATGATAATGATAAATCAAAATGAATATTACAAATGAAGGAAATGAATAAACCTAGGGTTCCAAATTTTATTTTTGACAAAATTAAAGCAAAATTAATGATACAAAATATTACCAGTCCTCTATTTTTTCTTCCACAAAACTGTTAACATTTACCTAGGCCTATTTAAAATGTAATTTTTTTTAATGGAAATAAAGGACAAGTAGGTCATCATGCAGCTGTGAGCAGTTTTTACAAAGTATTAGTCATATAACATATGATGACAGCAAGACGTCTAGCAATAATGAATATGGGATTGCCAGTCTACAGACAGACAGACAGTCTCACCTTTGTTAGATGACCGAAAACCCCAGTCACTTTCGACCAAACGGCACAAAGTCTCAATCACTTTCGCCTGAAACCGAAAGTTAACATTTCAGTTTCGGCCAAAGTGGAAATTAAACCAAAATTTAACTTTTTGGTTTTGGCCGAAAGTGATCAAATGGCCAAAACTGAAGCAGAAATTCTGTGGGTCTCTAATTCTGGGGCAACTTGATTCATTGCCAACAGAAAGGGCTCGGCGTGCTAGCTGAGGTACACCTGCTATAGATTTGCCACCACTTGCCGATGCTAATTAATGATTAGGCGGCACACATTTCAGTATTTGCGGGGCCACATCTGGTAATCTTTGGTGTTGTTTGCCCATGAATGCCATAAGAATAATATGATAGTACTGTTGGTAGAAGACTTCCGACACATCTTTTAAAAGGCGTTATCTCATTTTCAAGGCTTTTTTTGTTTCAGTGAGGTTTTCAAAGCAAGAGATAAGAAAACAAAGACTGTTGTTGCAATGAAAAAGGTTCTTATGGAGAATGAAAAGGAAGGGGTGAGCATTTAGTGATTTAGTAAATAACATATTTTTAAACGAGATGAATAACGGAAATAATAAATAGAATGTATCAAATGAAAATAGTTGTAGATTTATAGAAATGTATCATAATTTCTTGTCAGAGCTGTAAATTCATGGAACTTCAGACCCATATGAGATACTTCTTTTAAAAATGCCATGGGGGGGGGGGCTTAGGGCAAACCCCCAAAATGCAGCCCCTCATAATTAAATAACGTGCCGCCCAGGGTGAACCTGTAAAATAAGGATTTGGCGCCCCTTCACTTTTTAATTCACTTTAAAGTGCCTATTAATGACGATTTTGGAGCCCCCCACCCCCTCTGATGTTGTCGCTCGGGACGAGTGCCCCCTTCATCCTGGCCCTGGCTATCACATGTAACTTTTCCTAGTGGGGAGCATACAAAATTCATGGTGGCTTCACATTTCAAGCATAACATATGGTCGGTCTTGTCAAAAGATATATCCATGCATAAAACTCTTTATTTGATTTTCTATATTTAAATGATTTATTTTGTCATTTTTTAGTTTCCCATAACAGCTCTCAGAGAAATAAAAATTCTTCAAGTTCTCAAGAATGATAACATTGTGAACCTGCTGGAGATTTGCAGAGCAAAAGGTTTTTGAAACTTGTTGCCCTAGTTCAAAATTGGTGTTAAGTTATTTAGCATTTGTTCTTAACCAAACTCCCCTTAGCGATGTCTTAGTAATCAGACACCATTTGTTTCACAAATCACCTAATCAGCATTAAGATTTGTTAGATGTTTTTAATTTTTTATGTCAGCAACCCCTTACAACCGATTCAAGTCAACTGTCTACCTGGTGTTTGAGTTCTGTGAGCATGATCTGGCCGGACTTCTCAGCAACCCACAGGTCAAGTTCAGTCTGGCAGAGATCAAGAAGGTCATGCAACAGCTTCTCAACGGCCTGTACTACATTCATAGGTAAGACTCTAGTTTCCTGTAAGTCTTGAATCAGATGAGTATCAATTTGTTTATCGTGCTGTACTTTTTCTCATACTCTCTGAGAGGAATGGGCTGTTTCACTGTGCTGTTAATTCATGCTGCTTTAAATTTAATTTTTTTTTTTTTTAAAGCATTGCTTGTTACATAACTGACATTGGTTAAGCCAAGGCTTATAAAGTTACATGAAAACTTTACACGTAATTTTGGTACACACAAAAAAGAAATTCATGGCAATATTTTATGTATTCTTTTTCCTAGCAACAAAATTCTTCACAGAGACATGAAGGCAGCAAATATTCTCATCACCAAGACTGGCAAGTTGAAGCTGGCTGATTTTGGCCTAGCCAGAGCCTTCAGGTGTGATAAATTATTATATAATTAGTATTAATGAATGCATTATTGAATATCTAGTAATAGTCTATAGTAATAATGCAGTCATGATGTATCTATTAACATTATAATATGTGTATTAATAATGTAGCCATACTGTCCACTTTGTAGTGACAAGCTGAACAGGTACACAAACCGCGTGGTCACACTGTGGTACAGACCCCCTGAGCTGTTGTTAGGAGAGAGAAACTATGGGCCAGCCATTGACCTTTGGGGAGCCGGCTGCATCATGGCAGAGATGTGGACCAGGAGTCCCATCATGCAAGGCAACACGGAGCAGCACCAGGTTACTGCATTTCAAGTTATTAGCAAATCATTGAAAACACATGTTGTTGACATTGTCTATTAGATTATTCTTACTTGTAAGTTTAAAAGATTTTTAAAATTCTTTCAGAATGACTGTATGGTTATTGTTTTTCCTTTTCAATTATGTTTCTATGAAAAAGTCTTGGATTTCTGTATAAATTCACTTTGACAATTATATTTTCCAGCTCACACTAATCAGTCAGCTGTGTGGCTCCATCACGCCCGAAACCTGGCCAGGGGTGGACAAGCTTGATCTCTTCACAAAAATAGAACTGCCCAAAGGCCAGAAGAGAAAGGTTAAAGAGCGTCTCCATGGCTACGTCAAGGATCAATATGCCCTGGACCTGCTGGACAAACTTCTCACCCTCGACCCGACCAAACGGGTGAACTCGGACGACGCCCTGAACCACGACTTCTTCTGGGTGGATCCCCTGCCCCAAGACCTGAACCACATGCTGTCTCGCCACAACAAATCAATGTTTGAGTACTTGGCCCCCCCTCGCAGACGGGCTCCTATAAATCAGCCGCCACAGCCGCCTGGTGCCGTCAGACCTGCTGGTCACAACCCCGACCAACACTTCGAAAGAATCTTTTGAACAGCCAGCAAAGTGGATGCGTATGGGTGCGCTTGTAAATATTCTGAGAATAGACAAGCAAAGAGGGTATGAGAAAACACAAAAATTAGTACAAAAATCAAATTTTTGGGGGGTTTTGACCCCAGGTGTCTAACAACATTGGTGACTTAATATCTGATTAAGCTACTTGAACGGCATTTGCTGTGAAGACATTCAATTCTGCGTGACTGACTTTCACTGGATTTTGATGTGACTGTGATGGGGAAAGCCCATTATCTGAAACCATTGGTCCACACATTTAGCGAGAATTGGTAACACAGAACCTTTCATTATTTTGAATGAGTTTTACAACTGCTACAGTGCTACATGGTACTTCAAGGTTCGCCTTTTCCAATGTGTTACTGTACTCTATTTCCTTCAAGCCTAATCAGAAATGACAAAAAAAAAAAAAACTTTTTAAATAAAATACACATTAAAATTTTGGGCCACATTTTCAATAACTGTCTTGTGGTGATAATATGATGATGAAAAAGTTATTGCCGCAATGATCATGTTTCTATTCAGTCATAGATGTTTCTAGTGTTGCAATACAACAAAAAATCTCTTTGCATCTAGTTCATTCTAGTTGTTGGTTTTTTTTATGTGAGCTGGCTGTTTTCATACTTCACGGAGACATTGTTCTTTCAGACAGCGTTGCTTATCTTGGTGAAACCTTGCACTGGGGGATTGTAACCCTCTACTGGACCATCCCAAAGACTATCACCAAAATCTGGACCAGTGTGGCTTGGGGAACAGTTTAGTGTTGTGATGTACCATGATGACTCTTAAGGTGCATTGGTCCACCACTGCCCAGCTTGCATCACTCTCACTTGTTTGGATATGAAGGTCAAAGTTCATCTTCTAAACTCCCTGGGATTGATGACAACATCAGTTTCAGGTCAATAATCCTTACTGAAGCCTTTGTGTCGTAATCGTAAAGATTCTGGGGCAATTTTTGTTGCTGTTGTACAAATCATTTGACCCTGACAACAGTTGTCCAGAAAAAACAGGAGACTTCATCCTGTGATTATATGTTTTCATCAATTCTTGACATCATCATGGCCGATTACGTTTGAACAGTTCCATATTGGAGCTTGGGATTTCATTTTGGAAGAAGCTTTTTTTTCCTTTTCTTTAAGTTGTCTGCGTATTGATGTTATCATTGAACAGTTGTGTTGCTTTTTCCTATGTGATTGTGAGAGAATGATTATATTGGAGTGACTGTTCTATGCTGGTTAAAGCCAAGTCAGTTCATCGCTGACTGAAGCCAAGTCAGTTGATCGCTGGCCGAAGCCAAGTCAGTTCATCTCTGGCTTAAGCCTAGTCAGTTCATTGCTGGCTGAAGCCAAGTCAGTTTATTTCTTATGAACGCTAATGTATTGTGGTGCTATGTCTGATCTATGATTACATTTGAACATGTACAGAATTAGTATTACACACATGAATTTAAATTTAATTCATACCAAATTGAATTCCTGAATGAATTTTTGATTCAGTGTGAGTGTTGAACAGTTGAGATCTGAGAGTTGATACCTTGTACACCATCCCATCATTTAACATGAACGTGTACAGCCTTATTAAACATGTCAAAACAACATTTTAACAAACTTATTCTTTCTTTCTTATTTGTGGCTTGAGGTCAGGTATTTTGATAATGTAGTTTTTACGCACGCTTCACCACAGAATTAATGAAAAGATTGCAAACGTTTCAATGGGAAACTGTATGAGAAGATGAAACCAGAATGCGAACTGAGATGGATCTTAGTGGAGATTGATTTTATGTGGTGTCCCCCCCCCCCCCCCCCCTCCGTGTTAGCTAAAATGCTATTTAAATTTATCCAAGTTATTGCAAATATTGTGTAACTCTTAAGTTAACAGACTGTGTAGTTCATTAAAGACAAAATAACTGCAGGCTCCCACGTTACTTGGTATAAGTACAAAAGATGCTGAGCTAGGGACAGTTATGTATTCCACCATAACATAATGTACAAAAGCTGCTGAGCTAGGGACAGTTCTGTATTCCACCGTAACATAATGTACAAAAGATGCTGAGCAAGGGACAGTTCTGTGTTCCACTGTGACAGTTCTGTGTTCCACTGTGACATGACACATTGTCTGGTTATCCACAATAATGGTAACTAAAGAGCAGGCTTTCCCACAATTTGGCATACGCCGTCACCAAGTACACATTTTACTCCTTGACGAACGACGTCACAGCTTATACCCGTTGAAACGTACGACGTCATGATTGGCTCCGACTCCCTGACCGCGCGTCACCGCTGCACCCAGCTGTTTGATGTCCAGCAGTATTGTAACAACCGATTGGTACATCAGTGGACAACGAAGAAATGGATGGCGCTGGTCTGACTCAACCACACGACGATGCAGCAGGACCAGACTGTGGTCCGGACAAATGGATATTGGAAACCAAATTCCCACCCCCCCCCCCCCCCCTTCACCCCCCAAACAAAAAAAAAAAAAAAAAAAAAAAAAAAAAAATAAAAAAAAAAAAAAAAAAAAAAAAAAAAAAAAAAAAAAAAATTTTAAAAAAAAAAAAAAAATAAAAAAAAATAAAGAGGTGCTATTTTAATATTGTTAAATTTTCTATTCGCTGTTTATTTTCAATCCCATCAAGAAATAATTAAAAAAAAAAAAAAGATAATCACACAAGACATTTCCACCATGCGGCAATACCGCTGATAATTTCATTAATTAACCAAGATCGAGCACAATAATTATTAATTTAAAAAAAAAAAATCAAAGTTAGAGCGCCTTCTAAAATTAATTTTGACCCTGAAATCAGACACGGAAGTTCGACTGCTGGGCCGTAGAACTCATCTCAGCCTGAAGGCCACATCCCTCAGCCTGAAGGTCACATCTCTCCGACTGAAGGTCACATCCCTCAGCCTGAAGGTCACATCTCTCCGACTGAAGGCCACATCCCTCAGCCTGAAGGTCACATCTCTCAACCTGAAGGTCACATCCCTCAGCCTGAAGGTCACATCTCTCCGACTGAAGGCCACATCCAGCTTGAAGGTCACATCTCTCAACCTGAAGGCCACATCCCTCAACCTGAAGGTCACATCTCTCCAACTGAAGGTCACATCCCTCAGCCTGAAGGGTCACATCTCTCCAACTGAAGGTCACATCCCTCAGCCTGAAGGTCACATCTCTCAACCTGAAGGCCTCAGCCTGAAGGGTCACATCTCTCCAACTGAAGGTCACATCCCTCAGCCTGAAGGGTCACATCTCTCCAACTGAAGGTCACATCCCTCAGCCTGAAGGTCACATCTCTAGCCTGAAGGGTCACATCTCTCCAACTGAAGGTCACATCCCTCAGCCTGAAGGTCACATCTCTCCAACTGAAGGTCACATCCCTCAGCCTGAAGGGTCACATCTCTCCGACTGAAGGTCACATCCCTCAGCCTGAAGGTCACATCTCTCCAACTGAAGGCCACATCCCTCAGCCTGAAGGGTCACATCTCTCAACCTGAAGGCCACATCCCTCAGCCTGAAGGTCACATCTCTCCAACTGAAGGTCACATCCCTCAGCCTGAAGGTCACATCTCTCCAACTGAAGGCCACATCCCTCAGCCTGAAGGTCACATCTCTCAACCTGAAGGTCACATCCCTCAACCTGAAGGTCACATCCCTCAGCCTGAAGGTCACATCCCTCAACCTGAAGGTCACATCCCTCAGCCTGAAGGTCACATCCCTCAACCTGAAGGTCACATCCCTCAACCTGAAGGTCACATCCCTCAACCTGAAGGTCACATCCCTCAACCTGAAGGTCACATCCCTCAGCCTGAAGGTCACATCCCTCAACCTGAAGGTCACATCCCTCAGCCTGAAGGTCACATCCCTCAGCCTGAAGGTCACATCTCTCCAACTGAAGGCCACATCCCTCAGCCTGAAGGTCACATCCCTCAGCCTGAAGGTCACATCCCTCAGCCTGAAGGTCACATCCCTCAACCTGAAGGTGACATCCCTCAGCCTGAAGGTCACATCTCTCCGACTCAACGCCTCGCACCCCCCCTGACCCTGTCATTAACCCCAATTGTTGCGCAGACAAGAATTACTCAGATGAGTAATCGCCCCATCCAGGTCAGCCATCTTCAGACACCAACACTGTTTTAGGTTTATGAATGGATCAGTTTGAACTGAATTGTCCCCCAGAGATCGACGGTGCCGCAGTAATTATAATTCTCATTGTTCCAACTGTACCAACAATTAATACTGACACCAAACCCCCCCCTCCCCCCCACGCCCGGGGCCGGTACAGCAGAAATCGACTAGGGCTGTAATTAAAATTGATGACCCAAACGGCTTCCAAGCGTGGGTATTTTTTAAATTGATGATTGATCTGACGGAAATACTGCAGTTACAAAAATAAAACATTTTTTTCTTTGTGTGTATGTGTGTGTGCGGATCAGTTGGGTGTGGGGGGCTAGTGAGGGGGGGAATTAGCAGCGCCCTTTCAATTTTCCAAGAACATACAGAAATATCGTACAAGTGTGTGTGCTGTGTTAGATACATTTGTTATCAGTGGCGCTGGAAGGGAAGGGGGTGTGGACCCCAGGGTGGCACTTTTTGCGTTATAGGGTGGGGCGGCAGTTTCGACCAACTGCGAGATATTTTTGCGGAAAAGAGGTGGGGGAGGGAGGCAAAGTTCCTGGCGGCACTATCCCAAGCTACGCTACTGTTTGTTATGTACTGTTTATAATGTGTTCACTTGCGAAGGAAGATATAAAAAAAAAGGGGGCTGTGGTGGTGGTGGTGGTATACCCCATGTGGCAAATTCTTTGAGGCGAGAAGGGGTGGGAAGGTAGAATTTTATGGACATTTTAATATGCATACTTTATATGGCCTTTTGATCGAGGTGTTTTGTGGTGTTCTTGAGTGGCCTCGGAAGGTAGGTGAAGGGGGATGTTGGGCAAAATCATTGACCGCCCTGGGCGCCACAAAACTCTAGCTACCTCACTGGTACACGTGTGACACTCTAGCTACCTCACTGGGACACGTGTGGCACTCTAGCTACCTCACTGGTACACGTGTGACACTCTAGCTACCTCACTGGCACACGTATGACACTCTAGCTACCTCACTGGCACACGTGTGACACTCTAGCTACCTCACTGGTACACGTGTGACACTCTTATGTGACGACAGGCGGGCGTTGGTTACAGATAGGAAACATCGTATGGTGTCATTGGCCAACCTGGGACAATCTTATGGTGTCATTGGCCAACCTGGGACAATCTTATAGTGTCATTGGCCAACCTTGGACAATCTTATGGTGTCATTGGCCAACCTGGGACAATCTTATGCTGTCATTGGCCAACCTGGGACAATCGTATGGTGTCAATGGCCAACCTGGGACAATCGTATGGTGTCAATGGCCAACCTGGGACAATCTTATGGTGTCATTGGCCAACCTGGGAAATCTTATGGTGTCATTGGCCAACCTGGGACAATCTTATGGTGTCATTGGCCAACCTGGGACAATCTTATGGACGAAATTGATTCAGTGTCATGACACCATAAGATTGACATGCTTATAACAATGGCGTCAAATAGATTTGTTTACCCCACACACTGTGTAAAATCTCCTAGAATAGAAGCAAGGAAAACAATAAGTTGGGGGGGGGGGGGGAACA